ATCACCAGGCAACCCGGCAGAGAGCCGGCCACTTACATGGCGCCACACAGCGTATCAAAGCGCCCAAAGACCACAGATATATCAACCCAGCGGAAGATTCGGTGTTGCGTGATCCTGGTTTTGGTGCGTCAGACAGAGACAGACTCCGCAGTGACCTGTGGCGGCGGGAACCCGCATGTTCCGGGTTGTGGGTGCCCCCCGGGGCCGCTTTCGTCAATGGTGTATGACCTATAATAAAAAAAATGTTTTATTATAGGTCATATACCTATGGTCTATGACGTATATATGTCTACCCTTTTTTTTTGAGGTCATGGACCATAGTCATATACCATTGCTCGTTGCCTCTGCCTGTGCAACCAACAGAGCAACTTACACGTTGTGCGCTCTCGCTCGTATCTCGACTACAATGCGAGCGTTTGTAGCACCGACTATTCTCTTCTCTATTGTGAGACGGAGCTGCAGAGGTTTAGCTTTTAACCAAGGTGTAGGCGCCTCGGCAGCAGGTAGACTGCCGGGCTGTCGCACAACTGCCTCCTCGTACACCGTGAAGCGAGCAGCATCAACGGAGACTGCTGCTACGTTGCTATCGGGCTGGCCTCGAAGACTTGACCCGGACAATTGCAAGGTTGCCGAAATCCGCCAGCAGCTTCGACGCAGGTATAGACCCAAAGGTAACACAACGTGTAGACATGCAGCCATCAGTGTTTCGCAGGAAACAGATTAGTCTAGACTACAAGCAAGTACAGACATTTTCCCTAGGATCCAACCTTGGAGGGGGTCCAATGATCTTGCACACAACCAAGTTGAGCAGCATACAACATATTAGATGTTCCCGATCTCCGAGTTCCCCAAATAGGCGGGAGCACTCCTTGCAATGGTTCCAAGAAAATTATATTTTCACACGATGTTCAAGTACATACCTGAGCTACGTCGAGGGTATGTCGAGGTGTTGGATCAAACAATTTTGAAGTTGGCGTCTTGTTTGAGATGTGACAGATTTGCGTAGATAGGGTAAGATGTTATCATGAACGGAGATGAAAGGGCTTTTCCAACACGGAGATGTAGCATGGATCAAAGCATTTGTTGGATTTCAGCTTTTACAAGCGGACATCAACGCAGTAGTATTTTAGCAAGCTTACGAACGCATATAGGATACCATCAGGATTGTCATTGGTAAGTTGAAGAGGAGATACTTGTACGATGTAAATGACAGTAGAAATAAGTCCTACATGTTGTTGTACTTCTTATTGGTTTAATATTCATGTAGAGTATGAGACATTAAGTGAAAGTTTTCTGAGGTACATCTGCAATTGTCGGAAGGCAAAAATAAATAAATAAATAAATCATGTGTACGTAGTCTATGTTGCATGTTGGCGCAGGCCAAATTGGTGACTTGACGCCGACGGGGTGTAGACACCAACCTAAGGGCAGTCGGCAAGGACAAGATTTTGAACCGAGGAGAGCTTGGCTGGCACCGTTAGCGGTCAACAGTCTCATCGATCGGGTCTCCTTCTCAGCTTGGTCGGTGGTCGGTCTTGAATGATTGAGAGTTTGGCTGGCACCACTACGGGTCAACAGTAGTTTCACCGATTGGGTCTCTCATTCATTCTTGACCACAATCATCACCACTAACAACAACCACTACCGCCACAAAAGCAACAACAACAACAACAACAACAACAACATTTGTAGACTCAATGCACATTTATATTTTGCATGTTTGGCGCAGACCAAAATTGGTAAGTTGGCGCTCACGGGGGTAGGGGAACCAACCTAAGGGCGGTCGACAAGGACAAGAGTTCGGCTGGCACCATTAGGCGTCAACAGTCTCATCGATTGGGTCTATTTCTCAGCTTGGTCGGTGGTCGGTCTTGAATGATTGAGAGTTTGGCTGGCACCACTCGGTGTCAACAATCTCACCGATTGGGTCTCTCATTCATTCTTGACCGCACTCATCACCACCAACAACACTAACAACAACACACGCCACACTATCCCATATCCATCTCACCCTCGCACACGTATTGAAGTACTGCACAGCTGTACATGGCTGGCCACACGACCAGAGAGTATGCGTGTGGTCGCTGGGTGTTAAAAATCAAAGAAGTCTATGTACTTCCTCTGTCACATAAGTAAAGTCCGTTATGGGGGAATTTACATACCTCACCAGCCAAGGTGTGTTCCTGAAGCTCTAGTTAGGTTTGTTGGAAAGCGCTTGTTACGCACATAACTATAAAAAAAAATAAAAAAAATCCGACTCACAATTACTGAGAATTAGTGTGTCAAATACGGGACTATTTTGCGAATATTTTGGGAATATTTTGAAAACATTTTGAGAATATTTTAAAGAATATTTGCAGCTTTGTGCTGTGTGAGCACCCACTACCACCACAATGACGTAGCTATCATGGGGGACGACGCCCAGACACCCCCACGTCGTAAGCGGGGTGCGGAAGTATCGTTGGGTCGTCGGTACGCCATGGCGGTGGAGATAGCGTTGGCGATTCCACCGGGCAAAGAAAGGGTACCCAAGGGCTTTCTAGGCCCCCTCGCCGAGCGGTACGGCGTTGGTAGTGATTACCCCAGAAAACATTGGGCGGACGCGACATGGGTCGTTGAGTACAAGAGGGGGGTAGGGTTAGGACCCTACGCCTGTCGGCTTTGCCCCGCAAGTAACTTTATTTTAGTGTGGCGCCCCCAAGTGTCTTGGTTTTAGTGTGGGCCTCGAAAATGTCTTGATTTTAGTGTGGGTTCACTACCATGTTGGTTTTTGTATGGGAGGACGCGAAATGGATCGTTCAGTAGAGGTAACCTTGGGTTTAGGGTTCGGGATAATTCTTGTCTTTTTTTGGTATGTTTCGTTTCGTGTCCCCACCCCCACCCTCATGGAAAGGGGCAAAATACGGCCTTTTTTGGCCTGACTACTTTTTTGTAAGCCGCTAGTGCATGCAGGGTAGTGCGCAAGAAAAAAAAAGAAATATGGGTTTCAACCCGAAAAACGCTCAAGATTTCAAAAAAAGTATCGCCTAAGACATCGGACACGGCTAAATGGCCGTGTAATCATAACGGACTTTACTTATGTGACAGAGGAAGTATGCGGAAAAAACGCAAGACACCAAGACGTGGTCTAGTGGGTAGCCTCGCAGCCTGATAAGGGCCAGGTCATGGGTTCGAGTCCCAATAGAGTGAGTTTTTCTCGTTTATTAAATCCTGGTCTCCGTTGGAAGCGACGCGCTGCAAAGCTCGTTGTTAGTGAACTTGTTCGACTGCACAAGTCGCGAGGGAAGGGAATGCTGTGCCCTTCTCGCTCAGGCAGGAACCGCAGGAAGGGATCCAACCCCCCCTCCTTTGTGGCCCCGGTTGGGTCGTCTAGCTGGTAGAAGTGGAGAATAGGGGCCAGAGGGGCAGACGGCAAAGTCCAATGATGGGAGAAAAAAAAATCGGGGTCCATGGGTGTGTGTGTGATTTCGGGGGGGACTCTAGTTTATAGTCATTGCATATGGGGCACCGTGGATTGAAAAACCCCCTGCAGTTGGCGTATGTGAACTTTTGTTCAGATAGACCCTTGACCCCAACCTTGTTTCCTTGCTGTGCATGATCCTACTGGTCCTGCTGATTGTTATGGGAGGAGCTTATTGCACCGGTGGAGCAGTACTTGACGTCGATTCAAAGGGGTGTGACTGCTGAAGGCACAGTGCATAACGTGGGTGACATGCTACACACCCGGGACCGATTTTCAAAGCTCGTTACTGCACGAAGAAGATGTAGAACGCGAATGCTACGTTGTCGGAAAGCTCTCCAGGAGACGGTCCCAAACGCCGCCGTTGCCTGCCCTGCCGCTCTCTCTGCGGTGGAGGAATCGAGCTTTGGAAATCTGGCCAGGGGGCATATGGTATCTCACGTCAGCCACGGTTTATGGTACAGCGACGCCTGCCCACTCGTAAGGAACACTGCCAAGAACCCCCAGCTACAACTGCAGGATGTTTGTGCACCTTGTGTGCCCGCACCATTTTTTAGTCCCCGATCGCAACCGTCTACCCACACAGCAGGTTGGTCATTTGTCAACTTCCACACCCAATCCCTACGTCCTTCTTATCCGCATGCCTTCTGGGAAAATGTGTCTTTGAACACAAAAAAAGGGGTTACACGCCACCGAGAGGCAGACAGACGAAAGCGGCGCTGCTGGAAGAGCTGCGAGGCCTCGTGAGGGCCGAAGGCTTCGCGCCTCCGGACGCCGTTGTCAGGTGAAGGATGTAACGGCGCGACACTACTGCTTGTAGGAGTGTTGATGCAGCTTGGGCTCTTACTAAAAGGCCTGGTTGCAAACGTTGTGTTGGAGTGAGAGAGAGCTTGGCGGCACAGTAGCCTGAAGGTCAGGATGCAAATAAATATGTTGATGGACAGGCGGGGTCGTCACACCCATCACGAAACGACTCTGCCGCCGGCGAAAAGCGACCCAGATGTGAGGTTGTTGCACCCCGCTAATGTACCCGAATAAAGACCCCTTACAAGTACCGCCTGGTTACGGTTAGCTCTTCCCTCTACCGACAACCCATAAGCTCGTACGCGATCATTGCCTACAATGCTTCACACTCCTGTGACCCTAACGAAATTGGCTGGCAGAAATGACACCGTGACAGGAGAGGGGCCAGGGGGATCGGAAGGTGACGGCAAGGCGCGACAAAGGTGCGCATGCTTGGAAGATAGATGAAAGGTCGTCGTGTGGATGGCGGGTTTGTGGGAGACGGTGCAACAAGGGCGGGGGAGGCATCCCCATACCAACGTCTGGGGGGAGCAAAAGCCTCGCTCAGGCGAGTTTGCGGGAAGTACTTGAACCCAGCGCAGACCTGTCTGCTCGCGATTGATTAGGTTGGTGCATCTTCCTTGTGCGGCCCGCGAGAGCTTGCACAAAAAAACTTGTCTTACAGAAGCATTTGGGTACATATCTCGATGCCACGCGAAGGTGGAACCCCGAAGCCGGGTGGGTGGACAGAGCCACCATGGAGAGGGGGGGGAGGGGCTACCCGCTGTGCCGTTTCTGCAACGAGGAGGTTCCAAGCGCGAGACGCACGTTCTGCTCGGATGCCTGCGTCCACGAGCATCGGGTGAGTTAGCCTACATACATCCAAGCCGTCGACGGTGTCGTCGTCATGTAAAGCCAAGATCCAGTTTGATGTGCTTTCAAGGTGCTTTAGTTGGTGGGGGGGCGCAGCTTGCAGATGTGTCATCAAGCAAGATGGAGCGACGTGCGCGGGCGTTGGGCGCGGCATATTGGTTGGGGATTGCTTGTTGATTGGGTTTTGCGCTGATTCCCGCGTGAACGGGCGAGGGATGCGCGTGGCGCGGAAGTAAGTGGGAGCTGGAAGTTTGTGTCATATAGTTGTCTTTCTTCGGACCTACAGCAGGACGTCTTTCGCAAGACAAAGCGGAGTACTTCATATCAATGCTGTGCCGTCTTAGCATGGGACCATGTTACCCGGCACATGTAGTTCTACGCAGTCTACTACGCTTTACGGGCGTGTGGTAGGGTGGCACCCAACTCATGGATGGCGTCTTCTTCCGAGCAATTCGCGAGAGCTTTAGGCGCCTTGTACTACTGTCTCGGGGACCGACCGTGCGCACTCGTTTCGACTTCTCTGCCTCTTTTGGGGTAGATTCGCACCCAGGGGTCCTACGTGCGCAAGTGCCTGCTGGTCAGGGATGGAGGTCAGTGTGCCGAGTGCGGCGTCGACGCCGCGGGTCTGTATAAGCGCGCCCGAGCGGCGTGGATTTGCGGGGGTTCCGTGGTTGCGAAGAGGGAGGCGGTAGCGCTGGAGATGGTCGGGACCCCTTTCGAGGGAAAGGTGCGAAACGGCGTCAGCCTTTATAGCCGATGTAGTAGTGTGGATGGCTTGTTCCAAGCGGTATGGCGTGCGGAGGTAGGGGCGGGCAGGGCCACTCGGTTCTTGTACGGTGCAGTTTCTTTGGTCTGTCCGCTGGATCTGACACCTGCTCCCTTTTGAGGCTGATCGTTCTCTCCATGTGAGCGACTTTACACAGAAGGTGAGAGGTAGACCCCGCGCTCTTCTTGCCCTAGTATTCGCTGGCACAGTATTTCAGGGTAGATTGGGGTGTTGGGCGTGTGATTTGCCAATACGGCGACCTCGTTAGGGTAGAGCCAGTAGAGCGGTAGACAGCTTACAGGAGAACCAACAGCGGGATGGGATGGGTTGGTCGCGAAATACTACTTCAGTTGGTGAGGGAGAACTGGACAAAGAGATGCTGCGCTTGAATCAGACGAAAAGAACGGGGTGCAAGCCGGAGCGGTCGTAGGTGCAGAGATGGACACGTCTGTAACGCCTTTTTTGCTCGGAATGTCCCTTTATTTGTCGCTACACCTTATTGGATGCCCGCGGGGAGCAGATACCTACCAAAGGAATGACGCGAAGACCTACACAGGGGAAGTTCTGGCACGCTGACCACATCGTTCCGGTGGTGAGCTGCTAGGCTAGACCATAGTCTAAAGGTTCTGTCAAGGGTAAAGCTGCTGCCAGGGCTTGTTTTTCTTGGCTACGTCCACCAGAGGTAAATCCTACGTCATGAGTGAAGCCGAACGGGATTCGACAGAGTTTGTAGTTCGTGACTATATCCGGCAGGACTGAACCCAGCGATTTGGTTTCTTGGCCAGATGAAGCCAAAGACCTATCACGAACTGTTCCGCAAGCCTGACAAATCGTATCACGTTGACCGTAGGCTGGCTTTGTGTGATTTCGTTATTTCATGACGCAATCTTGCCGTCGTGTGGCCAGCGGCCCGTTCGTCGCCCTTCCTTTCACGTTTCCACGTCCTCATTCGTCGATGCGCCACGTTGCTGCATTGCCCGTCTGCCAACGTTCCCGCTCTCGCAATTCACAGTACGTGTCCAAACGTTATAGGAAACCCTCCCAAATGTTTCTACTTTTTTTTGGTCGGAAAGTTGCGCGCGGGTTGTGAGCGCTGCGGACTAAGCGGAAAAAGCGACCGCCTGCCGAGACCCTGGCCACTTCGGCGGCAACCGCCAACCAATGTCGCCACTCCACCCGCGCATGCACAACCGTTTTCCGTGTGTTTTTGCGTGTGAACGCGCATCTGCAGGTGAGGGGTGGTGGGCAGTGCAGCCTCAAGAACTACCGCACTCTGTGCGTCCCCTGCCACGCGGCTGCCACGAGGAGGCTGGCAGGAGAGCGGGCGGCGGAGAGGGCTCGTGCCGCCGCCTCCGCCACCGTCGCATCGGATAGTGTTGCCGGCACCGGTGCTGTTGTTGTGAAGAAAAAGCGTGGAAGACCTAGAAAGGTAGAGGACCGGTAGAGTAGCAGCACTCAGGGTGGCAGGTGTGATGTTAGCAGAATATCATTGGCGGTGGCGCTCGACGGCGAGGCCTTGGAAAACCACGCGGAGGAGGAGGAGGAAGAGGAGGAGGAGGAGGAGGAGGAGGAGGACGGAGGGTTCGCAGCAGCAGCAGCAATAGCACTAGCAACAACAGCAGCAGCAGCAGTGGCAGACACTGTCAATTTATCACATCGGGTGCGCTAACAGGGGAATGTGGGCTTATACCTGCATCGACCTGTAGCACACGAGACGGAACCTAGAGGCAATCCTAGTTGTGCCGACCCAATGCCGCCAGCACAACCGCAAAAGGAGTTGCGGCACTGCGATGGATACTCGAGAAGGGAGGGGATGGGTGGTATGCGTGGGGGTTGTGGGTTGTGGTGCGTGCCGCGTTGCCGATCTTTTGTGTTGGGGCGTGTTCCCAGCGCTCGGTGTACGGTTGAGGAAGCCTCTGTTCAATGTCGTGTGCCTTGGGAAAGGGTTGTGCCTCCTATAGTATGGTATGTGGCATGCGAGGTGGGTACAGAGCCAACAGTGTCAAGCTAGCAACAACAACTTTTCACGAGGAGCTCTCGCTTATGTACGACACCGTCTTGCGTTCTCGTTGGTGTTGTCTGTACGTAAGTTTCAGCAACGTTCACCAGGAGGCGTTCACAACAAGAGTCAAGCGGAGAGGGTGATGCTATGCCTCAACGGTATGATGAGCATCGTCGGATGCTTGCGCGTTTTAGCGTTCTTTCTTTCGCCAGCGTGCCTGACACGCCCCACTTGTCTTTCTCCTTCACACTTGTTCGAGACAAATGTTAGACCGTTTTTTCACCCCGGGTGATCAATGAAGTTTATCGCAACCTTTGCTCCAAGATGTCTCCCCCGGCCTACCTGGCATATACCATGACACCCCCATCTGGAGAGAAGGGTACCTCCTCCGCCATGTGGCACTCGTCAAAAGCTGGCAAATGGGGGTTCCAAGGCGTGGAAGTCTAATATTACGGTGTTTGTGTGAGGTGCGTGTGTAGGTACGCGTGAAGGTTTGGGTTTTGACAAAAAAAATTCACTTCATCTCTGCTCCGTAGGAAGAGGTCCAGCATGCGGAAATGACTTATTGCGTATTGCTCGGATTCGTCGAAACACTTGACACTCCTCCTGTCGTGCCAAGTTGAATCAGCTACAGCGAAATATCTCTTTCGCATTATTCCAAGTTGAGATGGCCGTGCTGCGTCTTGAAGAGGGAGGCAATGGCTGCGGCTTCAAGACTCAGCAGAGGGTTCGATTCAGAGATCGTGCCAAGACAGCCGTCACGAGCTGACGCTGACAGCACTACCAAACACTACATGGCTCACGTGCTCGAACCAGACGCTCGATGCTACCAGCTTGGGCTATGCGAATGCACAGTTAATTGACAACGGGCCCGCGTCAAAGTTCCGACAGTAACAGCAGGTTGTCTGCATGCGGAGAGAGACTTTTCAACTCCGATCGAGGGGTCGTGGTCGATGATCGTTCCGCACGACCCTTTGTGTTCATCAGGGCATGGCTTTGGTTTTGTTGCTGATATTTCTTCATCGCTTCGCTCTATCAAACACCACCTGCGAGAACCTTACACGTCGGGACGGCATACTAGAAATTGTTTTTGTGTCTGCGGCAGTGACAGTCTTGGCGCTAGCGAAACACGACGCTGCTTGTCCTCGTTCGAGGCCCGCCTAGCCACGGCAACAAAACAAAAATTCAGTATATTGCCCACACGGCCAAGTGTTCCTAGAGAACAATAACTGACTCTTGATACGATCCATTCGACAATTATCTCCGTCTTCCTTCTCCTAAACATCCCGCGCCCTGAATGCTACACGCTATGGGACTGCAGCAGTCACAAGACAAACCACCTAGATGTCTTTTTCGCTCTCGTACATCAGATTCACAAAAAGGCACGCTGCTGCAACATACGAGATACCGTTCCACTCCACAAGAAAACAAATAACATTCACGTCATCTCCACCCACGAGCACTTCGTTAGGTAGAACAGACACATCTCAAATTACAACAAGAACACATGGCAACAAGCAGACCAACTGTATGTACAACAAACGTATACAAACGGCACGACGACTAGAACGTGCACCCTGCTGGGAAATTCCACCAAGTCACAACTTCATTTCCTCTACTGCTCGCCCCCCTCCTGGTTGTCGGGGTTCTCGCGGTTCAACCGCCCCAACAACGGGAGCTTGTTCGGGAACGATCCCGTCGCCGAAGTGCCAACGGAGTACGCCACAGCCGCCAACAAAGCCACGAACACCACGTCCGACCCCGCGTTCGCCAAAGGCGCCAGCTTGGACGCGTCGGACCCCAACACCGCCCCCGTGATCGCACCCACCACGCCCGGCAAGATCAGAGCGATGTCCAGGTTGATGGCCTGCTGCATGTTGAACCTCACGAGCTTGTTGATCTGCGGGTTGCTGGAGCCGACGGACAGGCTGAAGAACCCGACCAGCGTCGCGAACGGAACGGACCGCAGCGCCAGCAGCACGGCCGCCAGCGGCTGCGCCCACGCCGTCTGCTCCGGGAACGCGCCGAACAGGTGGGCGGCGAACACCACGCCGTCCGCCAGAGGGAGCACGTACGGCAGCGCGGACAGCGCCTTGTCGGCGGTAGTGGCCGGGCCGTCGTTGACATCGCCGGGAGACACCTCCACCGCCCCTGCGTCCGGCCTCATCTTGTCGTCCATCTGGCGCTGGCGCTCCTCCATACGCGCCACGCGCTCCTCCTCCCGCTGCTGGCTGAAGAGGTTCTCGAGCCTCGTCCTGAGCTCCTCCGTTGGGGCGAACTCCGACTGCTGCAGCAGCCCGTCCCCGTTCTGGNGCGCTGACGCTCCTCCATACGCGCCATGCGCTCCTCCTCCCGCTGCTGGCTGAAGAGGTTCTCGAGCCTCGTCCTGAGCTCCTCCGT